CACGATACAGTGGTTACAATTCAATATATTGCCATATATTGCGATACTGGGAGCAACACAATATATATTGTGATTTTAAAAAAAATCTAATTTTAGGCAAACATACATATATAGTACTAAGAACACACCACAATATACATAAAATCTGAGTAAAACAAATTCTGCTTTTGTTTGCGTTTGTATTAATCAGTCAGTCTCTGTAACAGCCAACATTATAGCCCTCTGTTCACATTTACAACACTGCTATCTAGTGGTTTGTCGTTTGAATACAAAAATCATTACACAACATATTGTAATTTCGATTTTTTAACACTCTACCTTCACTGTCTATCTACCAGAGAGCTTTGACAAGTTTAGTTTACTTCTGTCAAAAACACGGGACAAATTTAAGAAATAAAATAATGTTTGCTTATGTTGTGAGTTTATGAAAAAATGCAATTGGCTTGTTATCAGATACTTTTAATGCTCTCGGAATCATCCTAAAAAATCCAGTATCGTCCAGGCTATATCTGTAATAACTTGTTTAAAATATAAATTGTTTGAGTTTCTTCTCCATTTCTTCCAACGTTTTACCTTCCGTTTTTCCCTCCCTGGTTGAAGCAGCGCCCCCTCCTGGGTGCCGGGAAGCGTAACTCCCTGCTGAGCGGCCGTCCAATCTGGATGGAGAAGATGGTCCTGGGTCGGGTCAAAGTCCCTCACACCTTCTCCGTCCATACCTACACTCGTCCCACCATCTGCCAGTTCTGCAAGCGTCTGCTTAAGGGCCTCTTCCGCCAGGGGATGCAGTGCAAAGGTGATGATATATTCTAAAATATTTAATTTAAACTATTATAAATATTTTTATGTATAATTCAACCAAATAAGTTGGCTGGGTTGCCCCTAAAATTTATGATGAATGTTTGATTACATTGCTCATCTCTTCTACTTCAGATTGTAAATTTAACTGCCATAAGAGATGTGCGGCCAAAGTACCTCGAGACTGCCTCGGTGAGGTCGACTTTAATGGAGGTGAGTTTGTGCGCACCTGACACCAGTTATCCTCACTTTAATCTATACTTACATTATTACAAAGTCTAATATCACATCTGTAAATTTTGAATATATATATATTTATTCATTTTTAGTAAATTGCGGTGATATCTGTATAGAAGGATCCAAAAATGCACAGAAGCAGCAATGTTGTACGTTAGCCACCCAATAAAAACAAGAGCCGTAACTTTACCTTTTTTCTATTTGTCAATAACAAATATTGTATTAGTTACTGACAGCAACACATTTTATACTTGCAATTGTATATTTTCAGAATTACCATCAGGATTCACATCAGACGAAGTGAAAACCCTTAAACTGTGTGTGTGTGTGTGTGTGTGTGTGTGTGTGTGTGTGTGTGTATTCTGTTTCATTTTGTTGTAAAGCACTTTAAACCTGTGCTATTAAAATTAAGTCTCTGGAGATAATATATTGTGCCGTTTTCGTTCTTTTTTTGCAGCCATTTGAGGAACTGCTGCTCTAAAGTACTTTTGACTTTGTTTTTCCACAGAACCAGCCAGTCCCAGTTTGGACTCCGAGGCGACGATGGAGGTGGACAACTGTGACGTCAACAGTGACGGCGGTCACAGCATGGACGAGCAGGACGAACTGTCCACCCCCGACGACAAGCTCTTCTTCATCGAGGGTCCCTGCACGGACGGTGAGAAGGATGACGAGACGCTCAGAGCCATCAGGTGAGTTCAGAATATGATGGATGGATACTACTTAGAAAGTGGACACTTCAAGATGTCAGTTTCTTCAAACTATAAACCATTATAGAAATTCATTCATACTTTGGATCCAGTATTTGCACAAGTCAATTAGTTTTTTTAAATAATCAGCACTTCTCTCACCAGAAGAGTTAAGAAGTTAGAAATGTTAAAAGTAGAAGATATCATTTGAAGACAAGCTTTAAATTTAGTGGTCATTAAGTCAATCAGCTTTACTTGCTCTGTTATCAGTAGCTTATGGTGGCCAGTATTAGCTAATTGTATCCAAATATTGCAGTATAACGCATATTACTTAGTCAGTCCACTAACTTTATATTTTTAACTTAACAGAGTGCTTCAAGAATTAGTCCTAAAACCCAGAATGAGTTATTATTTTTGCACCTCCAGTTCCACTTGCCTCAAAGTCAATGAGTTTCTTGAATGTGCTTTTGGTTAGATGCCTGAAATAAGATCTGTGGTAAACACAAGCATAAGAAATAGTAACGTATAGTACTGATAGGTTGGAGATAAAGCAGGGGGAGAGGCCACAAAGAGCCTTAAAAGTAATCAGTAAAATCTTAAAATTAATTCTAAAACATACTGGGAGCCAGTGTAAAGAGAATAAAACAGCAGTGATGTGATCATGTTTCTTGCTTCTGGTTAAGAGCCTGGCAGCTGAGTTCTGTAGAGTCTGGAGCTGATCAATAGATTTTGGGTTCAGGCTGTCGCAATAATCCAGGCGTGATGAGATTGAAGGCATGTAAAATGATCTCTGTGTCTTAAAATGTTGAGAAAGATTGGATTTTTGAAATGAAGATGATAAAAAACACTGTTGCTGAAGCTGTACGGACAAGCAGGAAGAACTGTCCACATTCCCCATTTTGAAGCTCTTATGCGCCGTAAAAACAGCGTCTAGTGTGTTTAATGAGACGTCAGAGGTCATTAAAGGTCAGCACACCAAGATAGTTTTTTAATAAGGTGACTGTATTCTAAATTATGGTTTGTTGTTCATTTGTTCACATGCAGCCCGTGCACCAGCAGTAACATCCCTCTGATGCGTGTGGTTCAGTCCATCAAACACACCAAGAGGAAAAGCTCCACAGTGGTTAAAGAGGGCTGGATGGTCCACTATACCAGCCGCGACAACCTGGTGAGAAGAGATACCAAACATACAAACACAAACACAAAATATGTATGTGTGTGTGTGTGTGTCTGTGAATCCCTTGTGACTGTGTAGCCACTTTGAATTCAGGGCGGGAATGGCGGACTCCATTCTGTGAATGAAAACACATTGATGCAGACCATAATTATAACTATAAAATGGGGTTTGAAGGATTATAAGCATAAAAAGTGCTCATTATAATGAATGGCTCCTTTCAGTGATTATTATTATGAAAGTGGTACTTTAATGTTGCAGCTGGTCATGGTGGAGCTACCTTTTAATTATTTTTATATACTGTTAGGTAGAGTACTCTTAAATAATTCATAATATTTTATAAACTGATCACGTTTTGTTCGTAAAATCTTACAAACACAGTAAATGTAGTTGAGTAAAAAGTACAGTATTTAGTATAAAGTGAAATACTGACCAGTCCTGTGTATATGTAAATTAAACACTTTTGAATCTATAAAGTTTTTATCCTGATGAACTTAATTTTGTCTTTCCAGAGGAAGAGACATTACTGGAGGCTGGACAGCAAGAGTCTGACTCTGTTTCAGAATGAAAGTGGAGCCAAGTTTTACAAGGTAGGAGACCCAGTCAGAGCAGATCTGGTTTCAGCTGCTCGGCCAAACAAAGCAGCAACGTGAAGAGAAGAGTGGAGGGAGTCAGGTTCATGCAGTAACAGCCACGAGACATTAACACACATCACTGTTTAATTATAACCAGATCATTCGCTGTAATTATTCTTATCAGGTCTGGATGTTTGCAGTAAGTTGTAACCTTCCACTAAGGGAAACAATAGTAAAATTAACATTTCAATGCATTTCTAAAACAACATTATTTTAAAATAGTGATGTCCCAGCAGGATCCATTTAGTAGCTGTTCTGGAGCTTTTTTAGTTGTATTACACAGACTCACTCAGTAGATGGAGTTTGCCCAGTTGACATGAATTTTTCTGAGCTTTTTAAAATAGTAAATGGGCTTTGTGGTGAGCTTTTGTTAATATTTACATTATTTATTCTCATTCACTCAATCATGCAAACAAATATCAGGATTCAGAATTACTTGTTCAGTCACTGAAATCATAAAATAGAACAACAGAGCTCAATGTGACGACTTCAGATATGTTGTTTAGTCCAGCCAACAATCTAAAACCATAGGCTGCATAAAAGTGGACGTAGTCTCCGTGGTGTCACCCAAAGGTTTCTGAAGAAGCTCAGTGAGGTCACTCTGGCCGGCCCCTAATTATGCATTTCTTTAAGCCTTGATATAATTTCAATGGTTGAGTTATGTAAAAAATCAACCCCACCTACAGTCATGAACAAGGAAATTAGCTGTCGAGATCAAAATCATTCTTTGAACCAGGCTGTTAACATTTCTTCTTTAAAGTAAAGGCATTTTAATGGGGACTTATGGAGATTGACTTGCCTTTGTAGTGAGCCTCAAGTGGCCATTCAGGGAACTGTAGATTTTGGCGTTATTTGTCAGCCACAGAGTCTGCCGCTTGTCCAAAGCCAAACAATAATTCACAAAGCTATAAGAATATGGAGCCCGAATGGTCACAGTGGAACTAATTCTGCGTTCCCTTGCAATAACTTTCCCTCTAATCCATCCCTCTGAGCCGTATTATTAGCCAGTATTTTGTATTAGACCACTGCCGGTTGTGCCCAGAGTGCGATTGGGCACAACCTCAGCTGTGGCTGCTCTGGCTGATGGAGCCTCGCTCTCTCACCGACTGCTGCAGAGCCCGGTTCTGTAGCTGTGATGGTGACGATAGCAGTGGGACGACAGAGCTTTGTCTGTTTCTGTCGCTGTGATTGTGGCTGTAGTCATGGCGGTGCTTTCTTTGTTATCATTATAGCTGTGACACATTACTTTATAATGGCTGCAACAATAACTACATGCAGGGGTGGTGTGTTTACAGTGAATTGACGTAGTTATGTTGGCTGAGCATTGTGAAGCTACTGTATTCCTGAACTGTCTTGTGGTATATTGGTAACACAGCTGTTTATCTGATAGAAGCAGCGCGGGTTCATACTCGTATGGCTCAACAATGCTTTCTTGGCTGCTCTTTATAGCAGCAGTAAGATAAGATAAGGCCTTTATTGATCCCCAGAGGGGAAATTCAGGTGTCGCAGCAGCACAAGGACAGAAATAAGCACTGATAAAAAGAGAAAGTAAAAGATAATAAAAAGAAGTCACAGTACAGCTCCTGTAGCCATAGCATCGTAGATTCAATCACAAATGCAGCCCGAGCAATGATCATATCCACAGCTTCAACTTCCACGGCCAGGCAGAGCAGCTGTATGCTGCAGGAGGAGTAATAAGCAATAAATAAAATAAAATAAATAAGCAGGCGCTCATTATCAAACAGAGAAAATCAGCAAATTATCACATTTGAGAAGCTGGAACCAGAGAATGACTGGAACTTTTTTTATTAATGAATCAACAGTTCGATACTGTTGCTGTAATCACTTCCAGTTTTCTATACATGATTTTGAATGGTGGTTAAGCTGAATTAGTAGAGTTGTCCTCTACAGTTTAAGTGGAGACCCGCCAACCATTTAGAAACCTGGAGGAATTAAACAGAAGGTTTAAGATTGAACTAAAACAAAATCAGGTGGTAAAATTTTTCTGACATTTTGATCCAATTTAAAATTTTGAGAAAAGGAAAAAAATGTTTCCTTGAAATATCAAATGATCACATTTGAATTCAGGTCAGTACAGCTGCAGCTCTTTTCATTCTGTATCATTTTCCTCTCTCATACTCCACCTCCTTTCATCTTGTGTCTGCCGGCGACCTGCTGACCTTTACCACAAAGCGCTGCAGAGACCTTCCTTTGAAGAGAAAGCGAGAGCGGGTTGAGGGAGGGGGACAAGGCAGAGGGGGAGATTTGTGGTGGTTTTTGGGACCTCGGGTCGCTTCCCTGCCGTCTCTCTGGCCTGTCGCCACGCTGCCTCGTGCCCAAAGTGGCTGAGGCACGTCCTGCCTTTTAATCAGAGCGGCGGGATGAATAGATGCTGATCGGAGTTTGTGGTTAGGGGTGAGGAGGGGGGCGGCGGATGAACTTGGCAAAACACAAAACGTTCAGATGACACTGAGGGGCACGAAGACACCGCTGGGCCGATCGTGCTCCTTTTTATATGTTTGATCTGGCAGAGGTTTTGGAGGGGTGGGGTGGTTTTTTTGGGGGGAGGAGGGGGTGCACTCTGCCAGAAAAGGAAGGAAGGAAAGTTTCAAACACTGAAACTCAAAGAGCGTCTCACAGTTCAGCAGAGAGAGGAGAGGTGTTAGGATGGAGGGAGCTGGAACAGTGTCTTTTGGATAATTTCAAGCGCTTCTGGGTGCTTCTTATTGGAGGAAATGACTCTTAAGATGGTACAGTTTTACCAGAATTTGAAGGGGGGAGATGTACAAGCTCAGAGGTTTGGGTTTATGAGCTGAAAGTGGAGGTATGTCCAACCAGAAGAACATTTTTTTTGGTGATTATTTTGGTCTTTTTCGGGACTTTTATGACCTACGACAGCAGGAATCTAAATGTTCTATGTGACTTTTTATTTATCCTAACAAACAACAGGAGATCCCACTGTCCGAGATCCTCCAGGTGGAGCCGGCGCAGGACTTCGGCAGCCTGCCCCAGGGCAGCAACCCTCACTGCTTCGAGGTGATCACAGACAACATGGTGTACTACGTTGGGGAGAACAACGGCGGCCTGCACCACAACCCTGTTCTGGCGGCGACCGGCGTGGGGCGCGACGTCGGCCAGAGCTGGGAGAAGGCCATCCGACAGGCGATGATGCCCGTCACTCCCAAAGCGAGTGTCTGCACAGGGCCCGGCCAGGGGAAGGTCCACAGTGAGTAACTGCCAGAAACGTCCACTTTAGTCCAACTTCATGTTCTCTTGCTCTATTCAGTTTTTCTTCTAGCAAACTGAACTCAAATAGAAGGAAATTGTGCATTTGTTCGGCACTCTTTCGATTTTGTTTTACAATAAGACGCCTATTTACAATGTGTCCTTGGGGAAGCATTAACAGAACAAGACTGGCCCCAAAAATTATCCCTGAGGGACTCCACGAGCTGTCAGGGCTACAGGGGGGGATACTGTTAAAGGAGATTTAAAAAAAACATCTATTCTGATATTAATAAATGCAGATTTTGTTTTATTCTCATTAGAAAGGCCTCTCAGTTGAGCTTTATGAGGAACTGAACCCACAACACTGCATGTCTTTTACCCTTTGACACAGCAGTGGAGTCATTTCTCAAATCAGATTAGACTCTGATATGTTTTTATGGATGTATTTGTCTGGTAAGAGTTTTCAAATATTGTTTCAGGGGACAACTGTTATACAACACCACCACCTCTACACACACACACACACACACACACACACACACACACACACACACACACACACACACACAGAGAGAGACTGACCGCCTGCTGACATTTTAACATGATTGAAGGGATTTCAGAGGATTTTCCGCTCTGATTCATCTCAGGTTAAAGTGTCTTTTTGTCTGAAAATAAGAGTTTTAAGTTCCCAGAATGAGATCTTTAGCACTAAATGACTAAATGGACCTCATGGCTTTAAAAAAAATCACCATTAACTATTATGGAAGACTTTCATTATTATAAAACAGTTGTACTTAAGAGGATGCAGTCAGCTGCGTTTTCCACCTGTTGAGTAATTAATGTCAAGCTTCTGTTTCTTTCCAAAAATAAATGTTTGGTTTTCCATTTTCCATGAAATTACAGCAACACACATCAATAAGTTAATGGACAGATGATGTAACAAGGCTTTTTTTTTTAATCATCTCAATGCCAAACACTGCAATAGTACATAAACCAATGCACTGAATTTATACTATTAGTTCTTTAAGAATAAACAGTAAGGTCTACATATTTTTCCTCATCCAGGAAACTGTGGAAAAAGTGAGAATATAATAAACAATAAATTACAAAACATTACCCCAAAACACAGACTGTGGTGGATTGAAGGAAACAGACATTTCCTAACCGAGCATAATAAAATAAAGTCAGGACTGACATTCAGAATAATTTGGCTCTTCCTTAATGTTTTTGTGATGTTAAGCTCCTCTTAGTAAAATGTAACACTTCCTGAAGATGTTTCACAATTTTTTTTAATACTCTTTTTATTGGTTTTTCATTTTTATAAGCACAAACATTAGAAAAAACAACAACAAACAAACCAGACAACAAAACACACGTCCTGACTCCATCTCTGTACTTAAAGCCCACATGTGACATTGATATAAATCTTCTAACCCTCGGAAAGAACGTAAATAAGCATATTTCCCCAACTTCCCCCAAAAAACAATTCATTTCCTGCGACATATACAAAATAAAAGCACTCCAGGCAGATTGGTAAAGTAACCACAAACAATACCAACAGCAATCATATAAAAAGTCACAAGAAGCCTCTTCCATTAAGGTCAGTGGGGGTCCTGCAATTTAAGAATTTGAACTACAGATCTGGACTTCCCACAGTTTACATTTCGATCGATGAAGTTATGTAAACTCTCTGATTGATGACCTAACCGATGACCTGTTACAGCAGACTGTTGGTATCGATCGCAGAGGGATGACCCGATCAAAGTCCGACCAGCGATCTGAAATCATTATCAGCTCATCAGTGGAAATTCACTCGCACACCAAACGCGCCTTCGGCCTTTTAATGTCATGCCGAATTAACATTAGCAGCAGTTTGTGAGCGTCTCCTTTGTATTTACACGTAATTAAACACAGAGAGAAAGAGGGAGACAGGAAATGGAAGCTTTAATTATTGTGAAATCTGGAAAATGATTTGGAGGTCGTCGTCGCAGCTGGAAACATCCTCATGTTCTTTCATCATGTGTTGAACAAACAAATCTGTAGGTTTGATCTCAGCTGGAAATCTCCTCTGTCGCCTTTTTCTTTAACAAACAAGGAAACATAGGAAATGAGATTTTAATGATTTGAAGGTTAGAAAAATAAAACCTCACACGTGTCTGCTGTAAGTGAGGGAGTTTACGTGTGTGTGGTTTATGGGTTGCAGTATCTGTGGCTTGTACATTTTTATAATGTAATGTGTTTTTTTTGTCTCCTCAGAGGAATTATCTATCAGCATATCAGTGTCCAACTCCCAGATACAGGAAAATGTGGTAAGTCATCACTTATATTATCTTCTTACAGAAGATTATTATGTGGTTATGACAAATGTCTCATATGATGAACCAAACCCAACATGTTCTGTGTTGAATTTTCTATTTAATAATTAATCATTTAAGTTTGGTTAGAGAGATACCAGTGGTTAGAGTTTTCTACAGCATCTGATTTCTGAGTTCAGACAGATTTTTTTTCTACTTACGGAGTCCTAGAGCGACAAACACTCAAACATTTAACTGAATATATATATAATATTTACTGTAAAATGGGTTGTAAGAACAGATGCTTATGTTTTCTTAACATCCAGTTTAAGAAATAAACAAGATTAAAGTCTACAGGCTTTGATATCGACCCCATGAGACTGTAATGCTCATTACACTGATTCTTTGCGGACATACAGCCAATATAGTTTACCAGCTTTATAGACATCTGGTGTAAACTAGCTAGCAACGGACTCACAGACCTTTTATGTCATTAGTGTGTCATTTGTCAGGATGAAGACATTTGGATTCACCCGTTTACATATGTGTTTGTCTGATGTCTGTGTTGTTCAGGATATCAGTTCAGTGTATCAGATCTTTGCCGACGAGGTCCTCGGCTCTGGACAGTTTGGGATCGTCTATGGAGGTGAGTCACATGGCAGAAAACTTGGTCAAATTAAACACAACCGCACTGGCAGCACTTACAGTTCAGACCAAATGAAAACAGTCTGAGTCTGATGCAATCATGTCATCCTCTTAAATCTGCCAAAAAGAGGCTCACAGCGTTTTATTTTGACAGATTGACTCCACCCGTCTGTCTGAACATGTGGGAAATGCAGATTACGGCATTTGTGGATCATCATTGTGTTTCCCTTTATTAAGTTAGCCATTGCAGATTAATGAAAATGTCAGTAGAGAGCTAAAATGTTAGCTCTCTCCTCGTCCTCTGCAGGTAAACACAGAAAGACCGGCAGAGACGTGGCGATCAAAATCATCGACAAAATGAGGTTTCCAACGAAGCAGGAGAGCCAGCTGAGGAATGAAGTGGCCATTCTCCAGGTGCGACGCTCCGAGTGATTAAAATGATATAAAATCTGATGAAATCTAACTGAAATTCATCTTTGATTTCTTATTTTACATGCAACTGAAAATAAAGTATTCAGAGAAGGAAACTGTACTAAAACTATGTTTAAATTTCCTCATTATTATGTTTCTGACAGAACCTTCACCACCCGGGGATTGTCAACCTGGAGTGCATGTTCGAGACGCCCGAGCAGGTGTTTGTCGTCATGGAGAAACTTCACGGGGACATGTTGGAGATGATTTTATCCAGCGAGAAGAGTCGACTGCCTGAACGCCTCACCAAGTTCCTGGTCACACAGGTCAGTGACAACCAGGAACCTTCTGAATGATGGCGTCCAACATTTGATTATCGTCCCTACTCTGAAAGTCAAAGTAACAAACCCACAGAGTTGCGAGCACTATAAGTATGAAAGTCTTTCTCGAGCTGAGTTTCTGGGGGATGAAGTTACACCATTGGTTGGTTGAGTGTTGGCCATTGCTCTTTCAAAATGAATAGGTGCCAACATTATTTATGTATCATAACTCCAGATTCCGTGAGTACAGCCGCACCCCTCTGAGGCAATCTCTAGTGGGTTCATCCCCTCATTATCACAGCACTGAAGACTTTTAATTTACACCCACGTACTGTGTGGGCCCCTCCTCGGTCTCACAGTGCGCACAAGTTGGACCGAACAGTCGGCTCCCAAGAACAGCTTTTCCTTCGGCGAGTTAAAGTAACCCAGTAGGGCCCACAGTTTAAAGAGGCTTCGTCCTTTAAGGCGGGACCCACAAGCACAAACACACCCGCTCTACAAGATATCAATAACCAGTCCATACCTGCCCATCGGGAACAACCTGAGGTTCGGTGTCTTGATCAAGCCAGAGATCCAACCGCCGGTTTTGATGCAAGAGAATTTTGACAATCATTAGTCATCAGACATTTTTTTTAAAGTTTTTAGAGTCTGTGTGTGTGTGTGTGTGTGTGTGTGTGTGTGTGTGTGTGTGTGTGTGTGAATGACCATAAGATCGATTACGGTTCAATGCCCCAACTGTTGTGTGTAAAATCAGCTTGTACATGTTGTGTCCATAGATCCTGGAGGCCCTGAGACATCTGCACTTCAAGAACGTCGTCCACTGTGATCTGAAGCCTGAGAACGTTCTCCTGGCCTCAGCAGAACCCTTCCCTCAGGTTAGAACAAATCGCCTCAAATCATCATCGTTTCTTCTCTTTTTGTCGCTTTAAATGTTTGATGAGACTTCAGAGCTCAGCAGAACAAATCACAACTTCAACAAACTTCAACATTCGCCTCTCTCGTCCTCCAGGTGAAGCTCTGTGACTTCGGCTTTGCTCGTATCATCGGGGAGAAGTCGTTCCGTCGCTCGGTGGTCGGCACTCCGGCCTATCTGGCGCCCGAGGTGCTTCGCAGCAAAGGCTACAACCGATCTCTGGACATGTGGTCGGTCGGCGTCATCATCTACGTCAGTCTGAGCGGGACGTTTCCCTTCAATGAAGACGAGGACATCAACGACCAGATCCAAAACGCCGCCTTCATGTACCCACCCAACCCCTGGAAGGAGATCTCAGAGGAGGGTAAGTTTGGGCTCTCGTATGATAAAGTTTGTGACAAAACTCCTCAACATCCAGCTAATAAATGTGGAGCTGCAACGATTAGTAGATTCATTGAGCGACAGAAAATTAATTGGCAACTGTTTTATTAATCAATTAATCGTTTAAAAATCCTCTGGTTGCAGTGTTTTTCTCAGTTTTATATTATTGTAAACTGAATATCTTAATGTTTTGGATCTCGGGTTGCACAAAATAAGACGTTTGATGACGTCAGCAAGTAAATGTTTTACATTTTACCCCAAAAATGAGTCAAGAAAATAGTCTTCGGATTAATAATAATTGTTGCAGCCCTAAATAAATGCAAGTTTATTTTAGTACCAGTGTATCTCTATGTGTAGCTGTTGTCCTTTAAACAGCTTGTAGTGCTGAAGAGAAAAATAAATTGAGACCAGAACAGATAAGTTGACTAGATCTCAGATTTACAATTAAACTCAACCTAAACGTGAAAAAGTGTTTATGTTTTTAACGATACTTATTTTTAAAGGTTTTAATGTTGTTTTTTAATTAATTAAATACATTTCTCCTTTACTTCTCCCCTTGAGACATGGCTTTAAGGCTTTAAACTTAAGCTTTAAACGACTAAAGAAGCTTCCAAGCGAAGAGAGAGGATTTTGACTCTGAGTGTTTGTTCTTCCTCACAGCCACAGACCTCATTAATAACCTGCTGCAGGTGAAGATGAGGAAGCGCTACAGCGTGGACAAGTCACTGAGCCACCCGTGGCTGCAGGTAACCCAAGCTGTTTTTCTTTTTTTTTTTTTTTTTACAAACCTTAGGCTGCATCCACACTACTACGTTTGCGCTTTTGTCATCAAGGAATGACCTGTATGTACTCAAATAACAAGGTTAGTCAGCGAAATCACACCTTAGTTAGAAAGCAATTACTTATTTATCTGAAGTGTTGCGGTGATACAATATGCTGCTTGTGTAAGAGCACAGTTTTTCCTTACAGGGCAAAGTCTCATGCTCACATGCTCATACAGTATGTAAAAAGCAGATTAGATACATGCTTACATGTTTACATGACCAAGAAATCTGATACGTTTAGTTTTAATTAGTTGTTTGAAGCTATAAAAAGGGGCTTCAGAATCTCACCTTTAAAACTGCCCACTGTGAGTGTGATGTTTTTACCACTCTTTGGGTTGAAGTTTGGGGCTGTTTGTTTACTGTCCTCGTCATCTTGCAGGACTACCAGACCTGGCTGGACCTCAGGGAGTTTGAGACGCGGCGAGGCGAGCGCTACATCACCCACGAGAGCGACGACGCACGCTGGGAAGAGCACGCTGACGAGAGAGGCCTGCACTACCCCAAACACTTCATCATGTCGCCCAACCTGGACGACATGGAGGAGGACCCCTAGAGACCCACGGAGGGTAGACATTTCACACAAAAGGAAGCAGCAACACCGAAGAGTCCCTCAACGGTTGCGTCGGACGAGTCCATGGAAACTGTCACCATGGAGACTGCGAGCTTTCCCTAAGATGGCGGCAGGAATAACGTTTGTTCGTGCATCGCCAGGATGCGGCGGTCAGGCAGCTGTGTGAGGACATTGTGACATGCTCACTGCGGCGATAATTCAGGTCCAGAGAACTTTAATTTTAACACATCTTAACTTTTTTTTTCCTGTTTCACTGCATTCTTCAATAAGCCAGGAAAAACACCCTGGAGGCCAAAAGCTGGAGGGACTTTTTCTTTTCCCAGAATTCCACATACAATAAATGTCTGCCATGCCAGTCAAGCCACAGAAGGGCTAGCTAAAGACAAATCGAGAGCCTTTATATACTTTTTCAGCTGAGATAGCATATTTTTATGACGCCGTTGTTACATTTTAGATCTCATGTAGCGATTAGGTATTTTTCACATTTGTTAAAGTTGTCCTACGTGACGCTAACTGGAACTCAGCAGAAACAAACATGTTTAATGTATCGATTATGTTTTGATTCTAATGTTTTGTTTTCATCCTTTTCGTTGTTCTTCGTTAAGATGTCTTTGCACTATTGGGAAACTCTTTTAAAAGGAGAATTTCAATGATAATAACTTTTTGTTTGTTCATCTGCAAAAATGGTTGAAAACAGAGTTATCTGGATTAATGAAAAAACTTTCCACTAGCCGGGAAGTAATTGTAAAGTTTTGAGGAAAGGTCATCTTACCAAAATCAAAACGGTTCATCCTCTGTACGGTGGCCTTTTTAGGACATCTCGGACTCAGCTTGTCAGACTCAACTCTGCACAGATTCAGCTTTCATCGGTCAGAGCTGAATGTTAATGTTATGATACAGAATATTAACGAGTGTGTGGTTACCATGCATACAAAGTATTAGATAGTAAATGAAAACGTCCACTATTCTTCACCCTGGGTTTTATTTCTAGCTCACAACCTCAATTGAAGCGATTCGGGAAACCGTCAAAATGTTACAGGACAATTTTGGTATTTTACAACTTGGGTCTTGTTCTCATAGTTGTGGCGGTTTTTGACAAATATGTCATGCTAATTTTGCAACACAACAATCTAAATAAAAAAACCCACAAACATATCGTGGCAAGCAGCGTGAGCGTCCTAAAACGTTCCTTGTCTCCAAGTCCAACATTGAAAGAAGCCTCCCAGATTAGCTTTTTATACTACTTGCATAGAGATTTACTTCCAAGACTTTTTTCCAGCAAATCTAATAAGCACAGAAATCGTAGCTAATGTTAAAATGCTCAATGTTAGCTGCGTAATTGATGTCAATAGTACCCTGTGAAAGTGGAGTTTAGCATATTTGCTAACATTTAGCATTTTAGTGTAACATGCTTTTTGTATGTTAGTATTAGTCATTAGTTTCCGAGGTATTTTTAAATATTTTACTTTTAAATTTTAGAAGGAAGAATCAGTTATTAAGTTTCATCCTCTGGGGACTGTGAATGTCTGAATCAAAATACATCTCTGTTAATCTCATAACCAAAAATAAAGCTTGAGACCCATAAAACTCTATTTAAGAGCAGACACCAGGCTGCTGCCTGTAATACTTTTGCAGAGAGACAAATTCAGAGTTGTTTTCAGAGTGATTCTTTCTGAACCTTTGGATGAAGACGAGCTGAGTCGAGCTGCTATTGTCTTTCTTTGGAAACCTGCCTGAGAAAAAAAACAACTCAACTGTAGAGCGTTGTTGATCTGATCTGACTCCAGCCTGAGAATTTATTCCACACATTTTATATTTTTGCAAGAAATGTTGTGTCATGTGGGTGACTTAAAATATTAAAGCTGAATGGTTTACTTTGGGAAAAATCGTACTTATTTAACTCCGATCCTCCGTCAGACATTACAACCAACAGCAGCATCACTGATCTATAATTCACACAAATCTTTAATTCTCACAAATCATTTTTTAAAAAAAGATAAGAGAAGTTGGAAGGGAAGGAAAACAAAGGTAAGGTAAAGTCGCCAATCAACTGCGTTACTTTTGAGATGTTCATATAATGTGGAGTTAAGAGGCTCTATGGCAGGTAAAGGGTGCTGTTAGTAAAGGTTCCTGTTGAATGCAGATGGTGGAAGGAGTGTAGTGTCAACTATGTCAAAATTCTGCTAATCTTTGTACTTTTTTTTACCCTGCTTATCCTGTCGAGTTAATTATGGATTAATGGTTAATAAAGTATTGAGCGAAAGGACTGCAGCCGGCAGCTGGCTTCAGGGCATTTAACAACTAAAAGTGATTGTCACTGATTTGCTCAGATTATTATTATTATTATTATTATTATTATTACTATTAAGTATCTGATAACATTTTAACTTTTAACCAGAAACAACACCAGACTCACTGAAAGAAAACCCGGTAACTTTAACTTGTGGTCGATTAGTTTGTGTAATTGTGTAACTTTGCTAAGTTCAAAATAACTTATTAAAACACAAATAGTTTGTTTTGTTTTTTTTCTGGTGGCTTTGAACAGCGCGAAATAATGGCTGTCTCTGGTTAAAGGAAAAGGATTTTACTCTTTATGGAAAGGATCCTTACAGACATAGAGCTTTTCGTTAATGTTGTCAGAGACTTGGAACAACAATGTGAGTCAGTGACTCGATTGACTCGATTGTAAAACACCACAGTTACCTTTTTACAGAGCGTCTAATCCCAAACTAAAGTCAGATTTAAAGGCACAACCCAAACCATCACTTAAACATCAGATTTTTTGGAAGTGGCGGTTTCCAGGTGAGAAAGCTTTTTAAACATCTTCAGCTGGACGGGGTTCAATAAAATCTTTTAACTCTTTCCAAATGCATGAGTCAAACTCATCAAACCTGGTCAGAAAAAAAAAAAAAAGAACAGACCCTCCTGAATCAGAGGAAAAGCTGATAACGATCCACAGCAGGATGTTTGGAAACGATCATTTAATTACCAATCCTGAACATGATCGCCTCGCTCCGCCGCTCCTCTGGAGGACGGCTGCTTGTTTTGGCAGCGGCGACCCCACCACCCCCCTCAACATGTGTAACTGAATCTTTTAATTGCTACCGGAGGAGCGGCGGGCTCGTTGTGAATGGCTGCTGCACAACTGTGAGCTCAGCTAACTGCTTCAAGATGTGGACGAAGGCTGACGGGCCCGAGCGGCGGCAAAACAGGGAGGGGAAGGGATCCTTCTGCCGCGGGATGACCTCTGACCTTAAGTGGTGTCACAGTTTTCTCCCATTGCTCGGTATCCGGTGACATGACCGGGAATTTTGAAGCCATTTAGACAATTAGGAATTTGAAAAGCAATACAATAAATGTAAAAAAAAAAAAATACACAAATGTTTTATTTTTTTCTTTTTTAGCTCAAAATCTCTTTATAGTTCACTTCATGTTTCACATATAAACCTGTTACGGCAAGTTTCTTCTTTTTCTCTACATTAGAGACACTCTCGTCCTTCTGCACGAATACGGTGGGTTTTTTTAACGTCAGCTGTAAAAACAGAATCGTCCGATGAACATGATCTTCTGAAATATCCTGTAACGTCTGCCCGAGCTACAAAACCTCTCTAGAAATGTCCGGACTGTTGATTGAAGTCTCCAAAGCCCCCTCAGGAGAAGCTGAGCTCTGTGAATCCGGCCACAGGCAGCGGTGCGGGGCTCTTCTTGTCCATGTTCAGCCCCTGTACCGTCTTGGGTCTGGCCAGCCGGCTGTGCTGCAGCAGGCTGAAGAAATGGAAGCGGTCGCCCATCTCGGTGGGGTTGGTCAGCATGTTGTAGCTGCTGATCAGCTGCTTCCTGGTGGACGCGTCGCTGCAGTTCCTCAGAAGAACCTGAAGAGAACAGCAGGGGAGTTAAAACATCTGAAAGGTTTCTGAACTCCTCCACCAGGGTGCCCAGGTGGTCATAATCTTCTGACTGTGTGGATAAATAATCATTAAATTATGATATCTTAAAACAATCATTGTCTCCTCCTCCACCGGTGTCAGACTCACCTGCATTCGGGAGTCAATACCCATGTTTTTCAGGAACGTCCTCTGAGAGATGGGTCCCACACAGGCCACGTCCCGTCCTGCTATCCTCCGCAGGTAGTTGAAGTCCACGTCGGCGGTGAGGTCAGCCGAGCCGGGGGAGGACAGGACGTCGTGGAGCTGGTGATCTTTAAAACCCTGATGAATAAAAAATAAAATAACAACTAAAGTAGAGCCTCAGATGTTTTCATTTTCTCTCGGTTTGGAAAAGAACAGATTCAACGTCAGTCTGCTGTTCGTTTCAGTTCTCTGAGCTCAGAAACCCACACATGTGATTAAAGCACCATCACATAAATGCAACAGGTTTTATGGCCATTACATATATTCCCATTATTATATTTAGCATCAACAATTCTGCAGAAAATGGCAGTACGGATGTAGAAAATAATTTCCCGTCTTGAGGATATTCAGAACTGATTCAGAATTAGTTAAATTCAAGTTCAAAAGTTTAAATTTATGATATGAAAACTGAGAAAATGAAAATGTCAGAGGCAGAAGAGGAGTCGGGGAAGAGGAGCAGCGAGCCCATCGACCCTGGTTTCCTCTCCGCCTGCAGCCCATGCTTCCTACATCTGTTTCCTTCAACTGTAACTGAAAAGAGGGTCTGACAAAATGTCCTTGCTGACCGAAAATGCCCTCACTTTAAAGTCCGACTGGTTTGTTATGATGTCTAATATGTTCAGTTTTTATTGACACTGTCATAAAGGTGATAATTCAATCATATGTTTTTATGGTGTTGTACTGGACTGCATTCAATGATGATTCTAATATTCTGCCCTCTCGCTTGTATGTAAATAGGAAGGACAAAAAATTAGAAGCTCAATATATGAGATAAAATATATAATCTCTCAATATAATGTCCTGGAAATAATCTGTTATTCTGGATTGTTTTTGTATTTTAGGCCCTCACTCAGCTAATCTACGTAAACCTGGGTACATATTTTGTTTGAAACTTGACTGTTGGTTGGATATACTATATGACACTTCAAAACAGCGTTACCAGAAGCGAAGTGGAACTGACTTGCAGTGGTCTTTTCGGGATCTAGTCTATTTTTTCCAAAGCTGTGAGCGAAATTCTCTTATCTACATGCATTCAGCCTATTAATGGGTGGTTGCTGTGGTTGATAAATACATATGAAGATGATTTATACGTGCAATTAACTATTTAACTTTCTAGAAGCTCAATTTACTGTAAAATAATATAAATTCTACTTGGTTCAAACTGTTACTTATGGGCCACATTAATGTAGTCTGTGCTCTCAGTATTGTTAAGAAAAACTGCTGGAAAAGAAAGAAAAATGTGTTTAAAATAAACATTTCTGACATTATGAGCTTCTTAAACATACCTGTTATGAGCCGAGCTGTGGTATTGGGCTACACTAGATTGTACAGGTGTCCCTAATAAGGTGGCCACTGAGTGTAAAGTGTTACTTTCTAATCTTACTCTGAACGTGTCCATCTTGGTCCCATTGTGGCCGTAGTCGGCGATCAGCGCTGCGCCGCCGTCTCCTGCGATGCGCTGGGCTATCTGGTGAATGATGACTCCGCCCTCCGCACACACCTCCACGTGACTCCGCCTTTCATCTGCCTGACACACACACACACACACACACACACACACACACACACACACACACACACACACACACACACACACACACACACACACACACACACACACACACACACACACACACACACACACACACACACATTTAAATTATTTGCCTTTTTATGCTGTTTTTGTGAGTGATTTCCTACTAGGGCTGCACAATATGGTAAAAACATCATATTGCCATTATTTTTCACAGATATTCAGATTTCATTATGATTCATGATTAGGTGGAATGATCTTTTTATGTATCCAAACTGTACTTTTCACTGAAAAAGCTATTAAAATGTGTTGGGGTCCGTAGAAAACAAACAGGAGAACAAGACTTGTAGACCAGGGCATCTCTTCAGGACAAGAGAAGTTCATTATGATGCTGTTTGTCAGGACACTAACTCTTTTCTGAGTGAACTTTTCCTCGTTTATTGTTACCACATCACATACTAATGCCTCTTTGGATCTAGAAACCAGTTAAAACGGCCCATTGTTTAAACCTTTAAACACAGACGACCTCAGTTTCGACATTAATCCTTTTTTCCTGCAAACTTACTTTCTAAAGTTTCACGTTTTTTTGTCTGGTTTGATGATACGGAGGCTGAACTCTGAGCTCCAGCCCCTCAAACTAGATTTAAGAGCAGGTTCTTCATCCAAACAGACTGATGAGGATGATGATGATGATGTCAGGCCTCTGGCAGGATGTTCAAAGTGTCTGAAGTGAGCCAGAGAGGCCAAATCAAACAGGCTGTGAATGTATAGCTGGTATAAATGTGGGCAATAAAAACCAGATGGAGGCTATAAAACAAACCGCTAAGAGTTTATCTGAGGAGTTCATTTCCACAGTGTTTAAAAGATTAAAGACATTCTTCATTCTGTACTTTAAAGTTAAAATTATACAGCTCTTATGAGCGCTCTCGAGTTAAGTTAAAACCGCCTCTACGTTTGTATTTCTAGGTTGTTGTATTTTTTTTTTATGAGCGAGTACACCTTCTTGACACTTCAACAGGACAAGAAAGACAATAATTACAACATTACAACAAGACACCTTGAATAACATTAAAAAGAAACTAATAAAAAACAAAACAACTGCTGTTAAATTACTGTTTTTATCTATGGAGTCTGGTGGCAAGCGATAGTGATGTTATGGCTGTTTCTGGTAAAACAAAAAGGATCTTTACTTTAGTCCCCAAGGATTAGCAAACGTTAGCTA